GCCCCTCCGGAACAAGGGCGCTTTGCTGCAGCCCGACCTGCGCCGTCGGGCTGACCCGAGCAAAACCAAATGGCATCACAGGCAGCTTCGTACCACAGGGAGGAGGCGCCGCTGCTTCTTTGGAGACGAGGCGGCTGTGCTTCCTTCCGTATCACGGATGAACGGTGAAGTCAGATATATTTAGCTCACGTCTTATTGGCACTGCTTTCTCCTACTAAAAATTGACCACAGCTGGGTGTCGCGGCTCGCACCTGCAATCTCGGCACTTTGGGAAGCCGAGGCAGGAGGACGGCTTGAGCCCAGGAGTTCAAGACCAGTGTGGGCCACACAGTGAAACCTCATCCTTACAAAACATCTTAAAAAATTAGCTGGGTGTGGTGGCGTGTGCCTAGAGTCCCAGCTGCTTGGGAGGCTGTGGCAGAAGGATGGTCTGAGCCCAGGAGGTCAAGGCTGCTGTGAGCCTTCATTGTGCCACCGCACGTGCCTGGGTGACAAAGTGAGATCCCTGACTCAAAAAAAAAAAATTACCGTCTTCTCTTGTGTGCTCTAGGTCTTTTAGAATTTCAGGAGGGGGCGGAAATGGGGGGGGTGTGGTTGGAACTTTTACAAACAGCCTGTGTTGCAGCTTCAGGACGTCTGGGACCCTCTGCGGCTGTGAGATGGTGAAGCCTCCTGACACCCACCCCTAAGCCTGCTGAAGCTAGTTTTGCTTTTGAAGATGTGCAGGGCACCAGGCCTGCTTGGGCTTCTAGAGTCACCAGGAGGAGCGCCCTGGCTCTCTGTTTACCCTTGCAGTTAGATGCCAGGCTTGCCTCTGAGTGGCAGGAGGCAGTTCAGATAAACACTAGAGCCTGGAACTTCCCTGCTGTTCACAAAGATATGTCGCCTGATGCTGTGGACGGATCAGGGGAGCTCACAGTTCTAGGCTCAGTGACTCTACTCCTGGGATTTCAGTGAAGCCTCCTGACATCTATCCATTTTTAAAAATATTATTCCTGTTCAGTCAGCCAGGCCTTTGGTAATCTCCGCTCTCCCCTGCCGCGTGATTGGTGGCCAGAGCCATCTCACAGGACCAGTTTTGAAAGGAGGGACAGAAAGGAAGACCCTTTCTCAAACTATGCACTGGCCACATTTTAAGAATGTAAAGAGAAATGATCATCTGTTTCCAATCCTTCCACTTTACTGCAATTTATTATATGTTCCTTTAATGAAAAGGGAGTTTCTGTTGGAGGAATAAATAGTTGTCCCCTGGAATTGTCTCCCGAAAATGCAGAGCACAGTATGATTTCAATTATTGGTTTGTTTTGGATACTCCCTACTCCAAATATGTGTTCCCCAAGGCTGGGGACATACAAACCTTTCTATGTTCCAAGACGCATCTATTGAGTTTTTCTTGGGAGATGTTGAAAAGGAAAAATAAAAAGCTGAAAAATGAATGAGATTTATCCCTCTTCTGCTGAATCGGATAGAAGTATAATTTCATTCCAGAATATCACATGTGCCTTTCTCCTAACTGGCCCTACATGAGAGAACTCGGCGTCCTTTCCCACAGTAGAAGATTGTCCACATGGTTTTCAGGTTAGCCTGTTTTGAGGAGGAATGCTCATTTCAGCCCTCTCAAAACACTAGCGTCACTCATGGCTTCGACTCCCATGTGCCATTTCCCTTCCACTTGGGGCTTGGGTACAGTGTCTGCCTTAGACTGAAGAAGAATTTGCCAGTCTTCCTGAGCGTTGCTCCCTTTCTCGGGTCACAGTTAATAAGTAGTGATAAGTCGTGTTCAACAGTAGATACAGTGCTGCTTATTTCAGACGGGGCACATCATAACTGTCTGGTACACAACTATGACTTCCTGTCTACTTCTAGAGCAAGTTTCAGCATCTGTGTTATGACATATTGCCAGAGACTTTGAGGACACCAAGGAGAAAGGGGTTCCTTTTGGCTGGAGCCTCAGAGGGTTTGATGGAAGAGTGGCATTTGAAATGAGGTGGAAAGGCTGGGAACATGTGGCAAGGGAGTGACGGGGGCGAGAGAGGGACCCATGCGCTGGGAGGGGGGTGGGGTAGTGTGTTCAGAGAAGAGTGAGAATGTGGCCGACTTGGGGATGTTTCCACACCAAGTAAAATTAAAGAATGGTGGGTCCTGCCCCAGACCAAGTGAATTGGAGTATTTTGTAGAGGAGAGCAAGCTCAGTGTTTTTGAGAAGCTGCCAAGACTATATATGTATGTAAGGTGCACACAGAGCCGAGAACCTCTGGCTCAGGGGTCAGTGCAGGGGGCGAAGTCCCTGGGGAGGGGTCCTGGGAGTGAGGGTGTTGGGGCCATTTTTTTCTGATGTTTTAAAGTGTAGTTGATCACTCTCCTCTCTGCAGAAAGTGCCATATAACACGTATCTTAGCATTTTGTTTGGAAAGAGGACCGGTGTGTAATCAAAGGTGTGCCATGTGCCAGGCGCTGTGCAGAGTGGCTTGTTTGGGGAAAATTTCAAAACTATTGAAATCATGAGAGAGCTTCTGAAATGTCAGAAATCTAGCTTTGAGAATTTACTGCTTTGATGGGATAAAGAGAAATATGTATATGTGTGTGTGTGTATAATTTTTTTTAAAGGCCGTGGGTTTTGAAGGATGGGAATGTGTTTATTTGAAGGGGAGCCTGCCATAGGTGTTGAAGTTGTTTGTGTGTTCAGATCCCGGCTCTGCCGCTGGCCAGCTGTTGTGGAAAGTTACACATCTTCTCTGACCATCACATTGTCATGCCTGAACCGTAAGTTTGCTTGAGAACCAAGTGAAACACCTGCAGAACACTTGCGAAGTGCCTACCTAGAGGAATAGGATCATCTTTATAGGCTGTATGTGTTTCTCTGAGCGTTTAATCTCTTGCCTGTGTCTTCACCAAATTGCATTCTTCTGGTGAGAGGTTCGTGCAGTGATACAGATGGGTACTCTGGCTGCCACTGCAATCTCCCTGCAGTGAGTTGGGCAAATTGAGACCTATGTGTCTATATTATATTCACATGTATACTGTTTATATGTCAAGGGCTTTGATTTAAGTTCTGCAATTTTTAAATATAAAAAAAGAACCCTCTTTCAGTACTCAGCAGGGGCACAGCTTTGGGCACAAGCAACAGATAGCAAGTATGTTTATGCGCACTTTCTTTAGCTGTGCAGCCACTGACTTCCTCCTGATTCTTGACTCTCTGTGTTCTATGAAGATACTACAAAATTTTGCTCTACTTCTCAGGTGAATTACAAGCTACTTTGAAAGTTCATTTTATACCAGGTGACCTAAGAAACATCTAGTTCCAGTGTGTTCTCTAGTCTGTAAAAACAATGTCCCTTTTAAATTGAGTAAAATTAAAGAATGTTTTTAGCTGGAGCAAAGATAAGGGGAAGGATTAGGATATGGATCTCTAGGGTGCGGGAAGTCTCTTGCGTCATAATGTTTGTTTTTCAGCATGTTTACCCTGTTACCTGACCAGTGATTAATTCACAAGATGGAGCAGTAGCATGTCCTTTAGATGACGAGTTTCCCCTGATTAAAGTCACTCAGACCTTTTCTGAAATAGCATCAGAAAACTCAATTTGATTGATGTGTGCACATTAGTAGATATATTCTGGCTGCCTACACAACCAGGAAAACAGTTTATCATGGTATGTGGGATATTGCCAAAACAAAATAGGTCTTATTTTTACAAGTTGAGTCGTGAAGTACATTTGTTTCTAAAAATTAAAAATGCAGCTTGATAATACTGAAGATTTTGTAAAAATTGAGACCTCCGATTGATTGGGGGGGGGTAAGTAAAATTATGTGAGGTGACGCCACCTAGTGGACAAAATAGCATAATTCTACTTTTTTGCCTGTAATTAACAAAAGGGACCATAAATTAGCTGCTTTAAAACAGTGAAAAATCAACTGGAGAAAACATTTTGCATGATTCATTGATCACCACAGATGGAAAAATAAGAAAGAAACTAGACAGCTTATTTTATCTGCTATAAGGCAACCACTAAGGGAATTTCTTATAGCGTGTAGTTTCAAAATGTGGTAAATCCTGAATGACATGTTGACTACTTATCAAATATATTTGTCCATTTGACTGTGTCTGCACTGAATGTCAAGATGTTTAATTAGCTTGCTTGTCTGAGGTGGTGGAAAATACGTGGCCTTATTTAGAGTAGCTTAGAAAAAAATTAGATTCTGAAAATAAGTATGCTAATTATAAGATGAAAATCAAAAGACCTGAGTCTTAACTGACTGTTATTAGTTTTTAATTAGGTAACTAGTTTCTATCCTGCCTTATTTGGGTCTGTGTTTGACTTAATTTTACAAGTCCAGGAACTTTTCTGTCCCTCCACTTTTTCATTTGCAAAATGAAGCCATGTTAATACTCAAAAGAAGTTTATTGGATGGATGATTATGTGCTTAGCACACTGGTAGATACTGGAAACACAACAATGAATAAAACACAGTTCCTGATATCAGAGAACACGGCCTTTAGAAAAAATATGTAAATGGTTTTAATATGAGTCAGTGAGAAAGTGACACACCCCAGTACTTAGAAATACCAAGGAACAGTAGCCAACTCAGCCTCAGAAGCAAGTGGAGCTGTGATCAAGGAGGGCTGTCTGGAGGAGGCCAGACCCTCCAGTTAAGGCTTAAAGGATGAGTGAGAATTAATAAGCAGAAGAGAGTGGAGACTGAGGGGGCACTCCAAACCAAGACTGCCAGTGTGGTTTGTGAGGCAATATGATGGAACCGTGTAAGCATATGTAGGGTCATATTATGGGTGCGGCATGTGACAAAACCAGGGTTCTTTGGAACTCTCAAAGGAATCCAGATTCTACTAGGGGATGGGGTAGGAGTCCAGACACTCTGAACTTGCAAAGTAGAGCGGCAGAAGGAGCTCCAGAAGTGCCCTGAGGGCCTCGCCAGGCTGTCTGGAAGACTTGGCTGTCCTGCTGTGGATCGACAACTGGCCTTTAGTTCCACCGTTCCAGAGAGCGAGTGCTTCACCTGGATTTAATGTCAGGCTGGCACAGACCTCTCTAGTGGGTTCAGTTTTAGTCTGTTTATCAAGGAAATTATGATGAATGCCCTGTGGACTCATTAATGTGAGACTGGTGAAGGCATTTGTGCTGCCAGGTTACCTTCTAACCCAGGATGTCGTGAGTGGAACACCGACTTCCAGAAATAAATCAGCATCTGCGTTTTACTTTGAAGCTTTTTTTGGTTGGCAGTGGTGGCAAGTATGTTTTTTGTTTTGTTTGGTGGCTGATCGTGAAAAAAATGAGGACTATTGCTGATACAAAACCATTACATTTTAAATTAAGTATGATATTTGCAAGAAAATGAATGGCTTGTTTTTATATTTATTTTAATTTCTTATCTGGTTATCTCTAGCTTTGAAAGAGCCAGTTTCCCTTGAAACTTCAAGTGTCCTATAAAAAATGAGACACCTTCAAATAAATACTTTTGTTTTTACAGATACAGGCTAGTTCCACAGGTTTATTTTCCTGAGCAAATTCACGATGTCGTACGTGCCACAAAGTATTTTCTGCGACCAGAAGTCTTACAGAAGTACATGGTTGACCCAGGCAGAATTTGCATCTCTGGTGACAGTGCCGGTGGAAACCTGGCTGCCGCCCTTGGACAACAGGTAACGCCACTGCCCTGAGGGGCTTGTGGATGGAGGGTGCGTGGTGAGGCCCAGCAGACCAGCACTTTGTCCATGCCCTGCCTGGGTAGGCTGGCCACTAGAGGGCAAGTCACTTGTTTGGTTGCACTTGACACTTGAACAGCTCTCCGAAATCTTGTTGGGTCATGGAGGAAAATGTCACCTGCGAATCCTTGCAAAGGCCCTGATCACACTCAGTGTTAGTCAAGTGCTCACATCTGTTGCTTATCAGGGATGTGCATGAAAATTAAATCACCCCTGCTCCTTTTCATGGTTGACTTGCAAATGAAGTCTCTTTGCTTAAATTCCAGTTTCTAAGATTGTTTCCTTAGAACTTGGAGCCAAGCTAAAAAATTAAAAAGTGTTTCCCAAAGTTTGTTTGTTTTTGAGTTGGGGTCTCATCTGTCGCTCAGGGTGAAGTGCAGTGGCAAGATCATGGCTCACTGCAGCCTTGACCTCCTGTGCTCAGGCGATCCTTCCACCTCCTCCTCCCAAGTAGCTGGGAATATAGGTGTGGGCCACCATGCCCAGCTAATTCTTTGACTTTTTGTAGGGATGAGGTTTAGCTGTTTTGTCCAGGCTGGTCTCAAACTCCTGGCTTCAGGCAATCTTCCCACCTCGGCCTCCCAGAGTGCTGGGATTACAGAAGTGAGCCACTGCATCCAGCCTTTTCTTCCTCTTATCGATGAAATAACTTAAGAGTAGTATCTCTGTCTTCTTGCCTCTGCATTTCTTTTGATATCCTCAAATAGCACCTGACATTTTATTTGTGATGCACCTTGGTTTCTTGCTCCTTTGCTGTAACTCAAGAACTTGATTCTGTGCTTGGCATTGGCAGATTTTCTGCCCCTGTCTCCCAACATGGTTAGAAGAAAATCCCGGAGCAGTGGAGAGAGCTTCCTGGGCTTTAAAGCCAGACAGACCCAGCCCTAACCAGGCCCCACCCTGGAGAGCTGTAGGGTATTGGGCAATCAGCCTCCCTGAGCCTCAGAGAATGAGGGCAGTGTCCTATGGTGACAAAGCCATTGCAAGGACGTTGTGAGTGAGGTGCTGTGTGTGCAGAGTACTATCTCCTGGTCATTTCCTCTTGCCTTTGCGGAGCAGCTGCATCTTAATCTTACCTGGGGGTGGGTGGCTGAAGTCCAGGTGGGAAGCAAGAGCAGATGGCTAAAGCTGCCTTGAAGACCATTGTGTTTACTGTGAAGCTTTGTGGCTTCCTTTTAGATGCTACGTGTGATCACACAAGTTTAGACCCTGGACTTGCAAAGTGAGGCAACACATCTACACTGTGGGGAAGTGTGAAGGGGTGGGGACTGCCGGGGTGGGCATTCGTTCCCTTCCCTGAGGGTTTCACTCTGCTGCTCATCCAGTGGAACAGAGGTGCGTACCAGCACTGTGTAGATTCGCTCTCACCACGAGGGGATACTCGAGGGCCTCTAACACCAGCTGACCTCTAAACAGTCCTGTCATCTGTTTCTTTCTTTTTTTTGATTTGGAGTCTCACTTTGTCGCCCAGGCTGGAGTGCAGCGGCACGTTCACGGCCACCGCAGCCTCAACCTACTAGGCTCCGGCGATCCTTCCGCCTCAGCCTTCCAAGGAGCTGAAACTACAGGCATGTGTCATCACACCTGGCTAATTTTTCTTGATTTATTGTAGAGATGAAGTCTTGCCAAGTTGCCCAGGCTGGTCTCCAACCTATGGGCTCAGGCAGTCCTCTCGCCTCAACCTCCTAAAATGCTGGGATTATAGGCTTGAGCTACCACACCTGGCCTGCCATCTGTTTCACAAGCTTTTTCTACCCCTTTCTTCTGGAAGACTAAGACTAGATCTTTCTCCCTAGGAAGCCATGGCCTTTTGGGGTCTTGTAGAGAATACAATATTAAATCAGGTTCACACGTTATTCATTCATAATACCCAGGTGTGTAAGTGCCAAAAGAGATACGAGGGAAGTGTTAAGGGTTTGAAGATCTAAGAGACTGTGCCTTTTTGAAGGATCCATTTAAAACTGAGTTGTAAACATCATACCTTTCTTAGGAAGTATCCAGAAGCTTGATGGGTGGTAGTGGTGATGGGAAATTATTTATTTTTTAAATTATGAGGGGTAACCCAAAACCATAATTTATCTGTAAAAAGTTGTGTACATATTCTTACCTGTTTCAGCTTCAGTCACCTTCAAAGCACTCTCTGATGCAATACACCTATGGAGACGCTTTTTTCGCTGTTCAGTTTCTGAACTCATCGGTTTTGATGCCTTTAAGTGCTTCTGCTCTTTTTAGTTTCATGTCTTCCACATGGGCATTTAGTCACTGCTGAACGCTCAGTGTGGCATGGGCAGGTGTGCTCATAAACCACCCGTCATGAAACGGGCACACGGCTTGAAAGAATCTCCAAAACAAATGCTCTGAAAATGAACGCAGCCTCTCACAACAGCGCTAGCTGGTCCACTGATGCCCGTGGGTTTCCCCGGAACACTCACCAGTGGGGCGAGCCTGTTCTGCCAGGGGCCTGCCCCCGGAGAGATGGTTCGGGTTTTTCTGGGTCCCCGAGTGAATTCCGTGACACCGTGCCTCGTGGAAAGGTCACACTGGCCCCTTCACAGGCTCATGTGAAGCTGCTCCACAGGCGGTAGGTTCTGTCGAAGGAGCCGCGCCCCACTGAATCGCGTGTTCGCTTTTTCCTCTCCAGTTCAGCCAAGATGCCACGCTGAGAAACAAGCTCAAGCTGCAAGCCTTGATCTACCCGGTCCTCCAGGCGCTGGACTTCAACACGCCCTCCTACCAGCAGAACGCGAACACGCCCATCCTGCCCCGCCACGTCATGGTGAAGTACTGGGTGGACTACTTCCAGGGCAGCCACGACCTGTTGCCGGCCATGGTGGCCAACAACCACAGCGCG